CACACACACACACACACACACACACACACACACACACACACACACAAACACACGAGACGCGCGCACGCAGACACGACCCGAGCGCGCGCAAGCGGAGATGGAGCCTGGAGGAGCAGGAGGCAGAGCGCACCTGATGGGGACCTTCCAGAGCACAAAGACAAAAATAAATAGTGGAGTCTGTAGCAGTCTGAGTGAAGCAGCTGGAGGTTCCAGGACACACACGCACACACACGCACACGTACACACACACACGCGCGCACGCGCGCGCGCACACACACACACACACACACACTCGCGCGCGCGCGCAGACAGACACAAGCTGGAAGGCAGGCAGGAGATGGAGCGTTTCAGAGATAATGGCAGCATCAGGAGCCAAACAAAAACAAGCCTATTTTTATTTAGTTTGTTATATATTGTTTTACTTTAAATCTGAAATGAGTCATGACAACAGTTTAAATTTTTCAGATTCATCCACAATAAAAAAAGACTCAGAATGAGTTCATCTGATTTAAAATAGGAGAGAATTTCCCGAAACAAACCATTTTCTCATCTTAATATTTTCCTGCCGCACAAGCGCGCTTCAATGAAGCCGGTTGGTTTTTGCTGCAAAGGCTGAACGTGATTAAAGCCGGAGGCTTGGCCCCTTTAAAATAACGGGAAGAAAAAAAATAATATTCAAGCGGAAATTTAAGTAGAAAAGCAAAACATTTTGGGAGCATGTTGAAAAGAAAAGATTTGGAGCAATTTTTCTTTTTCAAATCTAGATCAGGATGTAAATGGGATCATATAAAATTATGACCCCCCCCCCCTTCCCCAATTAAGAAAAAACAATTCCGATCCTATTTTTTTTCTAAATATATGTATGATGTTCATGGATCATGGCTGTGCCGTCGTGGCGCATTTCTTCCCGGCCGGTGCGCACAGCCGAGCAGCCAGACAGCGACAGGCAGCTGATGGCTCTGTTTTTAAGCGGGATGATTAACGACGGGAGCCCACACAGCAAATAGTCCGGGCTGCCTTTTTATCAGAGGAGCGGAGGTGAGGGAGGAAGAGGATTAAACACAGACAGATGTGAGGGAGAAAAAGGGGCTTCAGCCTTTGCGCACAAGTGTCTTTATTTCTACGAGGCTCCATGTCAGAAACAGTGATTTTTGAAAATAACAATAATAAAAAAAGACATCACTGTTGCTGGGGGTGAAGGAGTGTGTGAGGAACTTACTTGAAGATGGTGGTCTTAAATTGGTTGAGTTGGGGTCCTGGTCCTCACCGTTGGCTCTGGGTTCAGAAGTGGCCATCACTCTTGTCTGGGTGGGAATAATGAGACTTCACCTGCAAATAAACGGTCTAGTCAGGTTTTGGAGGAAGGTGGGGCGGGGGGTGGGGGGTGCAGGTTATGTTCAGACTGAAAACATAAATCCTGATTAAATAGATTGAGCAAAACTGGTCTTGAGCCAAAGACTTCTCAAGGAGGCCAGACGGACCCAGACGCGCAGTTTATTGCGCTCAGGAAACGCGCGCACCTTTAGACATTCCTAAACATTTATTGTGTAACCAATAATTCACTGAACATCAACGCACTTGACACCAAATTTCTAAAATTAAACAGGTTCGAAATAAAGTGAGCAAATAATGACTTAAAAAAAGATTTTGTGTGGATTTAGACGTGGGAATTTTTTTTTTTTTTTTTTTTAAAGGAATCGGTTTTTCTCCGATCACAACCTTGAGAAGAAGACATCCGATCTCTGGCTTTTATTGCAACAGATGAAAATTTCAAAGAACAAAAACAAGGAGATTAAAAAATATTGTGCTTTTTTGGATTTAAGGACAATTTCAAAGCTAATTATTTTAATTTATACATTTTTAACCCATCTGCATTTTCATTTAAAAACAAATACTTAGGCCTATTGCAGAATTCCGCTAAATATCTTTCTAAGAGACCCCATATTTTATGACAGACGTCTGTTCTCCCACCTGTCTGCCCACGAGGATAAATCAATAAAACGCTCGGTTTAAACTAACAGAGAGGTTCAATCTTACCGTCTCACACGTTGTCCAAATCCAGAGGATTATTATCAATATTATTATTTTATAATAACTGGCAGCCAAGCGCGCACAAAGAACCAGTCCAGAATATGAGACGGAGTTGAACGCACAGAAAAAAAAATCCCATCCAGCGGCGCACGAGTGACCCTTTTCTCCCTGAAGAGTATTTGTTCTTATTTATATGTGAGGCTCCGGCTGCCTATTGGTCTCCTCGCGCAGGCGGTGAGTCACGGCTCTGCCTCCCTCTGACAATGAAGCCTGCTTCAAACTCACTGTCAGAAAGGAAGACGACTTTTAAAGGCTCGGGGCGAAAAAGAGATAAAAAAAAACTGTTACGTGTCCTTGTGATGCGCACGAGCCGTCTCCAGGTGTTTTAAGGAGCGTGGGTGGGGATCTGAACGTGAATTATATTGTGTTCTGTCTTCATATAGGAGCTGACCTCGGCATTTTTTGGAAAATTACAAGTGAATGTGTGAAAACAGGAAAACCCATCTTAGGATTCAAATGAATAAAATGAGAAAAGTGCGTAATTACGCAGGATCATGCATGTAGAAATGATTTTTCATCTTCATGAAATATCAACTTCTTTTTTTTTACTTTTTTCATGCTTTCTGACACAAACAATAGACTGAGATATCAAAGTGACTCCAGCCTGCTGGGTATTTACTCAGTATCCTCCCTGTGTTCACAAAAATCAACCAGTGAGTCCATTCAGGGCCAGATCCCACAGCTATTATCTATTCATGTCTTTTCCATGAAAGTCTTTTCAGTTTGACTTTCGAAGAGTCAAACAGTCAAACAATGAACAGCAATTATAGATTGGCTAATGCAGGTGCACTATACAGAACAAGTCTACACTTGTTTCCTTGTGTGGCCAGATTAACAAGTTTCGGCAACAGGGGGGTGAACCAGGTTTTTTGTAAACTTTCCATAGTGTTGCTGTGTTGGATGTTCGAGTGCACAGAAAAATGGGATGCAAACCTCTGAAGAATACTCAGGCATGAGAACGACTCAGTAAACCTCCAAGATGAGCTAAATGCATTCAAGCTTTAAGAAGTTTACAATGTTTGATTATGATTATACTAAATAAAAACAAAAACGCTTGAATCTTAAAACAGAATGATCTGAAAATGAAGCAGGCAAACATCAAATAATAACGTTCTGAAAGTTTCATGAAAACCTCTCCAGTGGTTCATGTAATATTTTACTAAAATGCATTGTCCTCAGTTTAATGCAAAGAGCCCACAAAGCAGGCAGGTGTGAGACAGATTTGGTGTCAAGCTGGCTGCAGGCAAGGCAAGTGGTTTGTTAGATGTAGGCTAAGGCCTTGGAATGGTGGCACTGTTTTAAAGATTTTTTAAAACTTTATTAGAAACAAGAGCGTGCAATTTACAAAACACAGGGTGCAAAATTTCAACACACAAATAACCAGGCTGGAATGGACAGAAAAGCATTGCATTTACCAAAGGAAAAAAAAGTAGACTACCGATCTCCACTCAGGCTATTTTTAAAGGGATCCACGATTAATTATAACATTAAACTTTATTTGATAAACTTTTATTTTAACTGTAAAATAAAGACTGTAAAAATACTGTAGGCTGTTTAGTTTTGTGAAGTTTTTTAATATATTTTAACACACTACGGAGCCATTTTATTTACATGCAAAGCATTCTGGGTAAATGATGACATCAACTAGGTCATCGGTGCA